CTAGTGTAAAAGAAAAAATTTGGAAACACTTGATTAGTGGTAAGGTACGCAATATAGGTGTTTGGGGAATGCATGGGAAGGGTTGGTAAAACTGTTATGCAACGGAAACATAAACTCTAACGCTAGCTATTGAATATAATAATAACAAGTAGTAAAACATAAATAAATATTCAATAGCTAGCGTTAGAGTTTATGTTTCCGTTGCATAACAATTGGTATCAGAGCCTAGGTTTACGACAGTGAGTAGCTATTTGTATGGTTATATGCATGTCTAGGAAAATTCTTTCAAAAAGACGATAAAAGTCTAAGGAGACTGGATTTTAAGTGGGACCATTTGTGACCCCTCCATTGTTTCCTGGGAATTTTCCTGGTGCGTATTTAATCATTTCAGCACTTACTACTACCTAGGGCTATTGTTAATTTGTTGGTTAGCTATTGAATATAATAATTTGTGGAGCTTGGTTATTGGGAATTTTGTTTACCAAGCCAATTGAGTAAGGCATAAATGGCATCACCGTCCGAGGATTCATCGTTCGAGGCAGCACCGTTTGCGGCACCACCATCCGCACCAGTAAAGATGATAACGGTTTCAAATGCAAAAATTGATGTTGAAAAATTTGATGGCCAAAATAATTTTGGCTTGTGGCAGAGTGAGGTAATGGATAGCTTGTATCAGCAGGATCTAGATATCGTTCCGGAGGAGGAAAAACCAGAAGATGTTTATGAGAAAGACTGGGTGAGGTTGAATGTAAAAGCGTGTGGGATGATTTGCTCATGTCTTTGTAGAGAGCAGAAATATCCACTCATGAAAGAGACATCTGCAAATAAGTATAATGGAATTACAACTTGGGATGCCTAATAACAATGATTTAGGTCCTTATATATAGGCCCCAAAAGTTTCCCACTTTTCAATCCTAATCAATGTGGGACAAACTAACCTTTTTATGGCCTATTACTATAAGTCCCTAAACCTTTCTCCATTATCATTTCTACCCTATGTGATTTTGCTAAAAGCCATTTTTCAACAAATCTCCACCTTGGCGAATTAGCAAACCTTCAAAGTTTTGTATTCTTCTGTTAAATTTTGCAACACCTTCAAATGTGCCAAACAACACAATCAAGCTCGTAGGATGTTGATCAATTCAAACAGTGATTGAACTTGATAATTGTTACTACTTTTGTTAAGACATCTGCAGGATTCTCAGCAGTCCCAATCTTCTCTAATGAGATTCTTCCTATTCTCTCCTTCTTACGACTCTGATTTTGACTCCGCCCTCTTACTATAAGAGCTTCTAAATCTGCATCCTCCTGTACGATTGCAGCTGTTGTTCCAATAATTGTACTACCATTATAGTAATACAAGTTGTTTCTCCTTGTGCCTTTCATTACCACAAGAGCACCTGAAGAAACTTTTAGAATTCCATCTCGCATATTCACAATGAAGCCTTTAGATTCCAAGGCTCCCAAAGAGATGAGATTCTTTTTCAACTTCAGTACATACCGAACATCTGTCAAAGTTCTAGTTGAGCCATCATGATTATTCAACTGAATTGAACATATCATAGTTGTTTTACAAGCATCATCATTGCCCATATAAACAACTCCACCATCAAGTTCTTCAAAATTAAAGAACCACTCCTTGTAGGGACACATATGATATGTACAACCTAAATCCATAATCCAGTCATTTGTTCCAGAGGTGGATAGTAGGCTAAATAGATAGAAATCTGACTCATCCTCTTCACGCTCAACAACATATGCATCAAAAGTAGATGATTTTGTCACTTTTGTAGATGATTTTTCTAGAAGAGTTTAGGTGTATGTGATAAAAACTAAAGATAACGTACTTGGTGTTTTCCTTAAATGGAAAAAGATGATTGAGACTCAGACTGGCAGAAAGATCAAGCAGCTACGTACAGATAATGGTGGGGACTATCGTAGTGATCCATTTTTGAAAGTTTGCCAAGATGAAGGAATAGTACGTCACTTTACTGTAAGAAATACACCACAGCAAAATGGGGTGGTAGAACGCACGAATCAAACTATACTAGAGAAAGTTCGGTGTATGTTGTCCAATTCTGGGTTGGGCAAAGAGTTTTGGGCTGAGGTAGTTATATATGTATGTTACCTCATTAATCGTCTACCATCAACTGCAATTGAAAGCAAGACGCCGATTGAGGTATGGTCTGGAAAACTTGTTTCTAATTATGACTCTTTACATGTGTTTAGTTCCATTGCTTATTATCATGTAAAAGAGTCTAAGTTAGATCCTAGAGCAAAGAAAGCAGTATTTATGGGGATTACCTCAGGTGTAAAAGGATACTGTCTTTGGTGTCCAAGTTCGAAGAAAATACTGTTTAGTAGGGATGTGACATTTGATGACTCTTCTATGTTAGAACAGAAAACATGAAGCCAGATGAAGGTTTTCAGTACTCAGCAACAGGTGGAGCATACTCAGTAGCAGGTAGAGTTTGAAGCAACATCAGTTAGCCCAACTGGAAGTGAGACTCTTATGATAGAGGAGTTCATTGGAGATGAAGAAGATGATTCTTCCCAAGAACCCCAACAAGAATCAATTGCCGTTAATAGGCCAAGACGAGAAATTCGCAAGCCTGCTCGTTTTGCTTATACAATGGCCTATGCACTCCCAATTGACGATGGTGAAATTCCTTCCACTTATAATGAAGTAGCTAGCAGTTCTGAAAATGGTAAGTGGAGGAAAGCCATGAAAGAAGAGATGCTGTCTCTCCATAAGAATGAAACTTGGGAGGTTGTTCAATTACCAAAGAATAAGAAGGCAATTGGATGCAAATGGGTATATGCAAAGAAAGAAGGATTTTCGAATTTGAAAGACATCTGATACAAGGCAAGGTTGGTGGTGAAAGGCTACGCTCAGAAGAAAGGAATAGATTTCAATGAGGTATTTTCTCCAGTTGTTAAGCATTCTTCCATTAGAATTTTGTTAGCCTTGGTTGCTCAGATGAATCTTGAACTTGTTCAAGTTGATGTGAAAACCGCGTTTCTACACGGTGATTTGGAAGAGGAAATCTATATAACTCAGCTAGAAGGATTTAGGATTATTGGGAAGGAAGATTGGATTTGTAAACTGAAAAGATCTCTTTATGGTTTGAAACAATCTTCGAGGCAGTGGTACAAGTGATTTGATAAGTTTATGATGGGTCAACAGTACACAAGAAGCAAATTTGACAACTGTGTGTATTTTCAAAAGCTACAAGGTGATACTCTCATTTATCTACTCTTATATGTTGATGATATTTTGATTGCTTCAAAGAATGTAGAAGAAATTGAGAAGTTAAAGGCTCAACTAAATCAAGAATTTGAGATGAAGGATTTAGGGGAAGCCAAGAAGATTCTCGGTATGGAGATAATTAGAGATAGAGGAAATGGCAAGGTTTTTTTGACACAAAAGCAGTATCTAAAGAAGGTCTTACAACGTTTTGGCATAACTGAAAGTACAAAACCTGTAAGTACTCCACTTGCTCCTCATATAAAGCTTAGTGCGTCATTATCTCCAAGTACGCATGAAGAACGAGAGTATATGTCAAAAGTTCCGTATTCAAATGCGGTTGGTAGCTTGATGTATTCAATGGTGTGTACTAGGCCCGACATTTCACATGCAGTTGGAATTGTGAGCAGGTATATGCATGATCCTGGTAAAGGACATTGGCAAGCTGTGAAGTGGATTTTACAGTATATTATAGGTACTGTAAACATTGGTTTGGTTTTTGAGCGAGATGAAAATCTTAGTCAATTTGCTATTGGCTATGTTGATTCTGATTATGCTGGTGATTTGGACAAGCGTCGGTCAACTATTGGGTATGTATTTACTCTTGCTAAAGCTCCAGTAAATTGGAAATCTTCTTTGCAGTCTACAGTTGTTTTGTCTACTACAGAGGCAGAATACATGGCAGTTACAGAGGCTGTGAAGGAAGCTATTTGGTTACAAGGGCTATTGGATGAATTGAAAATTAGTCAAAAGAAGATCACTATCTATTCTGACAGTCAGAGTGCTATTCATTTAGTAAAGAATCCAGTATTCCACTTTCGCACCAAGCATATAGATGTTCGTTACCACTTTGTGCGGAAAATTATTTCTAAAGGAAGAATCTCATTAGAAAAGGTTAGGACTGCTGAGAATCCTGCAAATATCTTAACAAAAGTAGTAACAATTATCAAGTTCAATCACTATTTGAACTTGATCAACATCCTGCGAGCTTGATCGTGCTGTTTGGCACATTTGAAGGTGTTGCAAAATTTGACAAAAGAATACAAAACTTTGAAGGTTTGCTAATTCGCCAAGGTGGAGATTTGTTGAAAAATGGCTTTTAGCAAAATCACATGGGGTAGAGATGATAATGGAGAAAGGTCTAGGGACTTATATGTAATAGGCCATAAAAAGGTTAGTTTGTCCCACATTGATTAGGATTGAAAAGTGGGAAACTTTTGGGGCCTATATATAAGGACCCAAATCATTGTTATTAGGCATCCCAAGTTGTAATTCCATTATACTTCTTTTGTTTAGGGTTCTCTTTTTAAGGACCCTTTAGTTTGCAAGTTTTGTTGTATCTCCCATTTGTTTTGGGTATTTGTTGTATTGCCCAAAAGTTTGTAATGTTTTGGAGATAGTGAAGTTTTCTTTTGCAGCACCCGAGGACGTAGGTTTTAATACCGAACCTCGTTAATTCCTGGTATTCTTTATTTTTGCATTTAATTTTGGCAATTTATTTATGCTTTACTATTTGTTATTATTATATTCAATAAGCTAGCATTAGAATTTATGTTTCCGTTGCATAACAAAAACAACCATCATGAAGCACATTTATAATCTTGGAAGAAAGAAATAAATTTGATAAAGTAATTATTGCAACCGTATCCAAGGAGTATGATGTTTTAAATTGCAACGAGACATTGCAACTGAACTGGGTGAAGATTTGTCGAAACATAATGATATAATCACGTGGGCTGCAGTGTTACAAAAGATGTTGAAAGGAAAAAAAAGAGATGTGCTAATTTTAGATGATGTGTGGAAGGAAATATCTATAGAGGAAGTTGGAATCCCCAAACCAACTGTAATGGATGGATGCAAATTGGTTTTAACAACCCGTTCTATGGAGGTGGCTCCATCCAAGGGTTGTGAGGAAATCAAAGTTGAGCCACTGTCAGAAATGGAGGCATTCGATTTATTCTTGAACAAAGTTGGATCTAAGCTTTTGGATATTCCCACTTTACAATCAACTTTGAAACAAACTGTGAAGCAATGTGATGGTTTGCCTCTAGCGATTGTTACGCTGGCCAGCACCATGAAAGGAGAGTGTGATGTTCATATATGGGAGAATGCATTAAATGAATTGAAAGCATGTATAGCAAGTGTTGAGAATATGGTAGAGAAGGTACTTGAACGTTTGAAATTTAGTTACGATCGTTTGAGAGATCCAAAAATCAAACATTGCTTCTTATATTGTGCTTTATATCCTGAAGATTTTGCAATTGACAAAGAGGAGTTGATAGAACATTGGATTGTTGAAGGATTTATCGATGAATTGTAGAGTAGAAAAGCTCTGTATAACAAAGGCCATGCTAATTTGAAGAGACTAGAAAGAAATTGTTTGTTAGAAAGGGATGATGGGAATTGTGTAAAGATGCATGATCTAATGAGAGACACGGCATTGTACATTACTCGTCAGAGTCCTCGATATCTGGTAAAAGTTGGGATGCAATCGAGAGAGCTACCGACTGACCATAAATGGACTGAAGATCTTCATAAGGTTTCTTTAATGCGCAACAAGATTTCAAAAATTCGCTTAGATATGACACTTCCCAAGTTCGCAGCACTCTCGACCTTGCTTTTGCAAGATAATAAATATTTAGAAGTGAAAGTTTTTATCAAGAAAACAAGAAAGGTCTAGAAAAACAAGAAATGAAAACAGAGAAAAAAGGCGGGTTAACTATTCACAAGAACCACGTGAATGTATATTATGTTTCTGTTAATTTGTTACAGAGGAGAACGATGACTTATATAATAGATATTCTGTTATATTACACAACCCTAAAACGTCATCGTTTCTTTATTATCCTTTTAGTTTATTTTACAAACACAACTCTTCTATATTTCCAATATTACAAACTCAACCATGCGTACAGCAACTATCAGTACACTGAACTTCAACAAGCTGTCTTCTATACTGATATCCTCCCGTAAACTGAACGGCCTTCCTTCAACTACCAATACCAAGCTGACTTCTTATACTAATATTCTCCCGTAAACTAAACATTCTTCAAGCTTTCCACTCCTAATTCTATTAGTACTATACTTCCCGCATTTGATCACAAAAAATATAGAAAAAGAGAGTAATACTAGTGACACTTCCTTTATATTACCTTTTCATGAACACCTTGTAACTAACACTCCCAAGTTGACTTCATAAACTACTATCCTCCCGTAAACTAAACATTCTTCAAGCTTGTCACTTCTAATTCTGCCAAGACTATATTTCCAGCAATTGAACACGAAAAACAGAGTAGCACTTCTGTCATATCACCTGTTTCATGAACTTAGTTAATTAGAGTTCTTCATTTAGAGACTTCAGTATTAGCACTAGTGTCATCACTTGGTAAAGCATCTGTAACATTTAGCTTGTCCCGGAGCATAGCAAATCGAGAACTAAGAAGTGCTTTGGTTAATATATATACCATTTGACATTATGAAGCAATTTATTGAACCACCAACAATCGTCTTGTAACCAACTCTCGGACAAAATGCACATCAATTTCAATGTGCTTTGTCCAAGCATGAAAAACAGGATTAGATGAGAGTGCTTCAGCACTCATATTATCACACCAAATAACTGGAATGTTACTGATTTGAATGCCAAGTTCCTTAAACAAATTTTGAATCCACACTACTTTAGTGGCAGCCTGGCTAACTGACCGATACTCAGCCTCAGTTGAAGATAAAGAAACTACTTTTTATTTCCTAGAAGACCACTGAACAAGATTTCCTCCTAAGCAGACAGTATATCCACTGGTAGAATGTCTATCCATTTCATCTCTAGCCTAATCTGCATCAACAAATGCTTCCAAGGCAAAAACCTTTTTCCTGGTGAAAAGAATACCATATATCAGAGTGCCTTTTACATATCATTAAACACGTTTACAAGCAGTCTAATGAACTTTAGTGGGCTACTGTAAATACTGACTAAGTTTATTTACAACAAATGCAAGGTCTAGCCTGGACAAAGTCAAATATTGTAACCCCCCGACAATGCTTCTATATAGAGTGGGATGATCAAACACTTTACTATTTGTTGAACCAAGTTTGAAACCAGTGGCCATCGGTGTAGAAAAAGGCTTAGAGTCTGCCATCCTTGCCTTTGTGAGTAAATCTTGAGCATATTTGGTCTGTGTAAGAAGTAAACCTAATGAGTTTCGATTGACTTCAAAGCCTAGAAAATATTGAACTAAACCCAATGTCTTTAGAGCAAACGTAACATTCAAATCTGCTATTAGTTTGGAAATCAGATGATTATCATTTCCAGTCACCAATATGTTGCCCACATACACAAGTAAATACATAATAGTAGAACCTTGTTTATAAAAGAAGAGACTGACATCGGATATTGAATTAGCAAAACCCCAACCAATCAGCACAGATTTGAGTTTATCAAACCAAGCTCTAAGAGCTTGCTTAAGGCCATATAATGCCTTTTGCAATCTACACACTTGCTGTGAATTATGTTTATGTGATTCAAACTCAGAGTACCCTTCCGGAGGTAGCATGAAGACTTTTTCTATTAGCTCACCATTTAAAAATGCATTATTCACATCCAGCTGCTGAATATCCCACTTTGATGAACTGCCAAGGACAACATTACCCTAATAGTAGCTGCTTTAACCACTGGAGAGAAGGTGTCAAAATAGTCCAGTCCAAGAGTCTGCTGAAAGCCTTTGGCTACCAGCCTGGCTTTATATTTTTGGAGGGTACCATCAGAGTTCACTTTGGTCTTAAAAACCCACTTACTTCCAACAACATTCATTCCTTCTTCATATGGAACCAACTCCCATGTATCATTTTTCAACAAGGCTTGATACTCAGAAGACACAACTTGTCTCCATTCTGGAATTTTTAGTGCCTCAGTAACTGATCTAGGTTCTGGCAAAATAGTAGTTGAGGACAGCACAGTTGGATAAGCAACATGCCTTTGGACAGATCTAGTACCAGTCTTTGACCTGGTTAGCATAGGGTGTACATTCAAGGCTAAATTTGAATCAATAGGAACCAGATCAGAAGTAAAATGATTAGGAGCTGAAGTTCTTGGAAAAGACAAATTATGTTCAAACACGTCCTCAGTAGAATGGACAGAAGCTGCTGAAGAATGTAAGTTAGGCTCAGACGGAGGGTTATTTGGAACTGATGCTATTGCAGGAAATACATTATGCTTAACCATGGTTTCACCAGATTGGTCAGTAGTTGCAGAAGAGTTTAAATTATGCTTAGAAGTAAGACTAAGTGGACCTGATGCTGCTGCAGTAGTTGCTAAAGAGGGCAAGGTAGAAATGTCATTATACTCTAAGGAATCACCTGTTGGATTAGAACCTGACAACTCATGTGAGACCACTGGTACTTCAAACAAACCTACTGGATTTAGTGGAAGGCTCCAGGATGAGGAAGGTGAACTTGCAACCATAGACTCACTGTCTGTCAGTGTCACATTTTCAGAAGTAAAGCCACTTTTGAAAGGGAAATCATGCTCATTAAATCTCACTTGCCTGACAATATAAATTCGACCCTTTGAGTTTAGGCATAAGTAACCTTTGTGGATGAGGCTATAACCAAGAAAATCACATTTTTCTGTGTGAAACGCAAATTTGTGCTTGTTATAGGGCCTGAGATAAGGGTAACAACTGCAACCAAACACTTTGAGTTCACTATAGTCAGGCTCTTTATTGAACAAGACAGCATACGGAGATGCAAAATCAAGGACTGATGTTGGTAGTCTATTAAGAAGGTAGGTGGCTGTACTAAAGTCAGCCCACCAGTAAGTTAATGGCATCCCAGCATGAGCCAAGAGTGAGAGACCAAATTCGGTGATGGATCTATGCTTTCTCTCCACCCTTCCATTTTGTTGGTGGAGATATGGACAAGGGTGTCTAAATAGGATTCCATGATGTTAAAGATAACTAGTAAAAGCTCTGAATTCACCTCCCCAATCAGTTTTCAATGCCTTTATTTTGTGGTTTAATTGCTTCTCTATAAAACAATGAAATTGGACAAAGGCTGTGTAAGCTTTAGACTTGAGTTTTAAAGGATATATCCATGTAAAACGACTATAGTCATCAACAAAGATAATATAGTATTTATAGCCTTCTTTGGATGTGGTAGGAGCTGGTCCCCATAGGTCAGAGTGAATTAACTCTAAAGGGACTGTTGCTTTGGAAGAAGATGCAGGAAAATGACATTGTTGAAGTTTTCCATACTGACAAGCCTCACAAAAAAACTGTTATTGCATTGCAACTGTTGTTTTACATCCAATTTGTCTAGCACAACATGAAGAGTTCGACTATTGGGGTGTCCTAACCTTGCATGCCATAGCAAAAGTAAGTCTACACTTGCAGATTTATTTAATTTTGCAGCAGTATAACATGCACCAGTAGAGCTAAGAACCTCATTACTTGATTCAGAAACATTGTCACTATTATCAATACTTGAAACACAAACTACACCAACTTTATTCAATTCTTCAGCAGCATTACATACAGCAGATTTATTTAATTTTGCAGTAGTATAACATGCACCAATAAGGCTAAGAACATCATTATTTGATTCAGAGACACTCTCACTAGTATCAGTACTTGAAACAGAAACTGCAGCAACTTTATTCAATTCTTCAGCAGCATTACATACAGTAGTAGACTAACAACTAGCCACATTTGAATCTAGAGCAGCTTTATTATTATCAACAATTTCTGATGAGGACAGAAACACAGCAGCAGTAGAACCAGTGAATTGTGGAGTAGAGGTGATAGCATGAGAAAGTTCAAATTGATACAGTCTATCTTTAACAGTGCCATGAAGCAATATCATTCTACTACTTTTGTCCTTTACCAAACAACAATCGGCATGAAATTCCACAATAACATTATTGTCTCTAGTTATTTGTGAGATGCTTAGCAAGTTCTTTGCAATTTTGGGAACACATAGAATGTCTCTAAGATGAATCAATCTATAAGTATCAAAAAAGGGAATCAATAACATACTTGTTTGTGTAATTGGAATAGCTTCCCCATTACCTACTTGCACCTTGGAATTTCCAGGATAATTGGACTTAACCATCAAGTTGGATCCATCAGCTACCATGTGATTGGAAGCTCCAGAGTCCATATACCATGACTGATCACGTAGTGTTTGTGAAGTAGCTATAGGCTGCAGATGAGAAGCTGAACCAGAGAAAATATCTTTGACATTTTGCGATGGCAGATTACCAGAGGCATCAAGGTTGATGTTATGATAAGTAGGTACAGCCGAGAATTGATTTCCTATAGTTGATGG